TCCGGGCCAGGCCACCCCCTAGGCCACAGACTTAAGTCATTTGCCCAATCAGCTGAGGTCAGAGGGGTTGAGGGTCCCATAATACAATTTTGGGGGTCAAGGGCTACCTCAACAGGGGATTGCCCCCACCTTAAAAAGGACTGTAGGTGTGGCTGACAGAACGTGTGACATATTTAGTAGTGTTGTGGTCCTAAGGGGCAGCTTTGTGTCACAAGCCCTCCTAGTCACGCTGTTAGTTCATAATTAGCTTATAGCTTGCTAAGCCCACTTTCCTAATTTGTACAATAAGTGGGTGGGGCTCCAAAATGTGTGATAACTGCCTCCCCCCTCAAACTTTTGTATATAAATTATTGTTAAGCCAGACTCTCTCCATCCCATGCTTATTTTTGAACCCAAAATTTCATTAAAAAAATATTTTATTATTTATTTTTATAGAGAGGGGAAAAGGGAGAGAAACATCAATGTCTAGTTGCCTCTTGAGTGACCCCCACTGGGGACCCTACAACCCAGGCATGTGCCCTGACTGGGAATCGAACCAGTGACCCTTTGGTTTGCAGGCTGGCACTCAATCCACTGAACCAAATCAACCAAGGCAAAGTTTCATTTTTAATAAATGTTAGCTGTTATCATTTACCTTTATTACAGTTCACTGTATTGTTTGCAACAATTATTTTGCCTTGCCTTAATGTTTGAATCTTGAGTTTCCTTTTTGGTGTATTTGTATTTTTTTTTTTTTAAATAGCTCTGTGCCATCAGCATCTATGAATGTGCTTTTGGTGTCACTATTCAAGACAGGACTAAGGAGGAGTTTGGGGCAAGTCACTGGAGACCTACTGGCATTCTTTGGCTTCCGGATCGAAGGGGTGCAAATCTTCATAGCACTAAGAGATGGTTCACAGTTCTCCTTGACTCTGAAGCTACAGACAGACTTTTAATGATGTTCTTCCTAAAATCTACATCTACTATATCTCCAGCAATCGCATCCTTGACTTATGTCAGACATTGTTGAGACAATCCCATATTTTAGATAGAAATTTGTGACTTGCCCAAAGTCACATACTGTGGCCAGGGCTGGCTTCTTTATCCATATCATGTTCTTTCCTTTACATCACACATCTACAATTCAGGAAACTCATCCACTGCTGCTATGGTAAATTACTTCAAATTTAGCGGCTTAAAAGAATATATAACTTTCTCATCTTCCAGTTCTGTTGATCAGAAGTATGACACAGGTCTCACTGGACTAAAGTCAAGGTGTCAGCAGGTCTTTCTGGAGCCTATAGGAGAAAACCCATTTCCTTGCCTTTTCCAGTTTCTAGAGGATGCCTGTGTTCCTTGGCTCATGGTTCCTTTCTCTACCTTCAAAGCCAGTAACTTGGATGGAGTCCTTCTCATGTCGAATGTCTCTGCTCTTTCTTCCATGTCAAAGCACTTTCTTTCCATGGTCTGAAAGCTTCCTCTTCTTAAGGACTCATGCGACAAGGATAAAACAGGATGCTCTCTCCACCTAAAGTTTCTTCACTCAACCAAATTAACTTTTTGTCAGGTGAAGTAACATATTCACAGGTTCTGGGGACTGGAGTGTGAAAATTTTGGGGAGGTCATTATTCTGTCTACCATGCCCTCCTGGAACCAGTGGGCTAAGGTAATAAGACAGATGTAACCTGACTTTCAGGGTATCGGGAGACTTCCTTGACTTTCTAATGTTGGCCACACTTCACCGAAATTCATCCAGATGATCAACCCAGAAAATTCTTTTAAAAAAAATAAATTATATTTATCAATTTTACAGAGAAAGGGAAATATTGATTTGTTGTTCCATTTTTTATACAATTATTGGTTGATTCTTGTATGTGTCCTGACTGGGGATTGAACCTGCAACCTTGGTGTGTCAGGACACTCTAACTGAGCGACCCGGCCAGGGCTAACACATCAAATTCTTTTCTCAAGTGCCCTCATAGCTGGGCTTCCTCCTCTTGTCACCTTAACAGCCTATTCCATGTGATAAGCAGCAGAGGTCAGGGCTTTGGTGTTTGTCCTCTAGGATCACAGATGATATTATGGCCCTGGAAAAGCACTGGCCCTTCAGCTACCAGAAGCCTTTTTTTTTTTTCCATCGCTTGTAGTAAAAGAGGAAGAGAGATAGAAACACTGATGTGAGAGAGCAACACTGATGGGTTGTTGCCTCCCGTATGTGCTGGGACCAGAGATCAAACCCACAACCTACGCAGGTTCCCTGACTGGGAAGTGAACCCATAACCTTTTGGTTATGGGACGACACTCCAACCAACTGAACCACACCAGCCAGGGCATCCCTCAGTTCTTAAAAGCCCCTGGTGTTCCTGACATTCGGGCAGGTGAGGTGCTGCTTGAAGTGACAGGCATTCTTTCTGATGTCCAGTTTTGAAACGTAACGAGTGTCAATATTGCAGAGACCCCATCTGATACACACAGGGAAGGAGAAAGATCCTGCTGTTGTCCCTGTATCCGAAGGCCACAAGACAGTCTAGGATGGAAGCGAACACAGACTATCATAAGACGTATAACCTAAAAAGCTAAAGAGGAGAGGGATATAGGCCACGACAGCCAAGCCACTGTGGTTGTGCAGTTTGTTAAAGCCCAGTTCCACTGGGCACCCTCCCTTCTGAAGCCTCTCCAAGCGTCAAGTTAGGCAGCATGCTCATTGATTCTTTTTTGAGCACATACTGGAAGCTTGATTTTGGCATTTTACCTGGCATCCAATCCATGTTGACTTGCATTTGGTTCTGAAAACTGGGACATTATCTACAGTTTAATGTATCCCTGCAATTGGGTTATACACGCTGGCCCCACCCCTGTGCACCACAGGCACAAGCACCCTGACTGCCCCCTCCCACCCCCGCTACCAGCTGCGCTACTCCCACTCAGTCTCACAGGCCTCTGAGGCCCCCAGGGAGTCACTGACACACAGCGGTCTGTTATCTTCGTGGGGGAGGGGACTGGGTTGTTGGAAACTTTAATCAAGCAGGGACAGTTAACAGCTGCAGGGACACCTTAGGAAACAGTGAACCGTAAAAAGGAAATATTTGTAGAATCTGTCTCCATGACCTTGTAAGACTTTTCTGAGAATGACCAGTTATTCCCTGACATGGAAAAAAATAACAGCTATCACAGAATCCTTCGTGCTTCATCCTCTGGGCAGGCTTTGATGTTCACCTCACACAGATGTCCCTCAGAGACCACAAAGACCCGGGGTTGTGGGTGTGTGCACTCATACACACACGCACATACCGGCCCCTCCCGGAGGCATTCCTCAGGTGACAAATGTGCACGTCTGCCTCCGTGGGCCCTTTGCCTGGGGCAGGCCGGGTGCTGCTGTTAGACAGAACTCTCAACAGACCCACAGGCCCATCACAGCGCTCCTCCACACACCACTAACCGTACACTGCGGGCTGTTAGCATGCGGTGAGGAACTCTTTTTCCCCTCCCTCTTCCCCCCTGCAGCTGCAGAGGTGTGTTTCTGAGGGGGTGGATGTCACCCACTAGGGTGGTTTTTCTAACTTCCGTACTGTGTGTCCTGTCCCAGCTTCTTCCCACCCCCAGAAGGAAGTCCTTTTGGAGTTGCATTCTAGGTCACATCCTGGTAAGAGAGTTGGGGAGCACCTTTGAACCATTGCTCAGTAGCCACTTTCTTCCTCCCCTGGTTTCCCTCTCCATCAGCAAGGCCCTCATGATTGACAAAGGCCTCTCAGCCTCTGCTCTTCCCCCATAAATGCTCCTTTTTCCTCGGGTCTGGATGTAAAGGGACAATGTTGGAACTTTTCTTATTAGTAAAGTAAGAAAGAAACTGAAACCAAAATCAAACCAAGAAAATATCAAAACCTCAGCGACTCCAGAGTCTCCCTGCCTAGTACCCAGTCCCTGCTTCATTTCTTTGCTTCCCTCTTATTGTCTAAGAAGTAACAGCTTTTCTTCATCCTTAGGCAACTCCTCTGCTTGCCTGCTTCCTGACCCCCCCAAAGGTACACAAGCAGTCAGTGCTGCAGGCTTTTTCAGAGGTGCACAGCTTGGGGTTGCCCTCATCCTCACCCCCAGCCCAGGCCTATCCCAGTGCCTCTGCTTCTCAGGACTCAGTTTGCTGGATCCACCTCAGATGTTGGGACACAGGAGACACCATGAGTCCAGCAGGGGGCAGGAGGGGACCCGGAAGGGGTTGACTGGTCACAGGTGTGATCAGTAGGGCAACAAGGGTAGGAGGGGCCAGGGAACGTCTGGGAAGAGGAGCTTGGGGGTGTTTACAGAGGAGATACAGTGTGGTCCCCGATTCTCTGCATCCTCCAAAGGCTGCAAATTCCCAGGAAGGACTTTGGAGAGAGACTTCCTGTGTGCGAGGTCCTTGGCAGCTCTGTGGACCTACAGCAGGAGGGGAGCTGGGCCCACCCTGAAAGCCCCTAAACTGAGGTGGGGATGAGTCCACAAAAATCAGGGACCCTCTTCTGAGAACTGATATCTACTAGAAACCGCAGGATGACAAAGAGCAAGGGCTCTCTACTACAACCTCCCTCCCCCTATCTGATGGGGAGGATGAACCTCCCTTCCCTGCCTTGCCCCACTGAGCAGTGGTTAGGGAGACCCTCTGGGGTCACCTGGGCACAAAAGAGCTCTGATTACACAGGGAAAACCTACGGAAGGGGCAGCCAGGAGAGGAACTTTGGGGCAAATCAGGGGAGATGATCAGAGGCTGGGCATTTGGAATCCAGCACTGCCAAAGTGGGTCTGGAGTACATGACAGCGAAACAGAGAGGACATAGAGACAAGCCTGAGCCGTGGTCCTGTGGCCCCCTTCCCAGCCCTGATCCCCATGTCTGGACCTCATTTTCCCCTCCCCTGCCCCTCTGGCCAGTGCTCAGGATGCCATCCGCTTCACTGAACCCATCTGTCTGAGACTTGCTCACATCTTCCTCTTTTGTGACTAGAAGTCACAGGACAAAGCACTAAGCTTTACAGTCAGAGAGGGAACACAGAGCCTAAGGGTGTGAAGGGACAGAGGGGAGAGGGGCAAGGGAAGCTTGGTGCCAGAAGAAGGGGGGACCGGTGGGGCTGAGGTCCCCAGGAGCATGGCTGAGTCTGTCACCTATGCAGACCTCCGGTTTGTGAAGGCTCCCCTGAAGAAGAGAATCTCCTGCCAGTTAGGGCAGGGTAAGGGTAGATGAGGGGTCTTCTGGATTCTGCCTCCCCATCCTCCTTCATGACCCCTCCCCACCCTACAAATCCCCATTTCCAGTTCCCACCTTGGTCCCTTTTCTCTCCTCTACAGACCCAGAGACCGACGATGATGGGGAACTCACCTACGAGAATGTACAAGTGCCCTCAATCTCAGGGGGAGCCTCAAGCTTGGCTTCCTCTGGACGGGGGGACAAAGCTGGTATGGAGAGCCCAGGGGATGTATGTTTGGAGGGGGACTGTGTCTTGAGCTGGGGAGTCCGTAGTATTCTTGGGAGGGTGATACCCTTGGGAAAGGGAAGTTCTTAGGAAAAAGAATGAGCACTGGATAAATGGCAGCCAGGAGAAGAATAAAGTTCCTAGGAGCAAGGGGGACCCCAGAGGGGAGGCAGGGATCGGGAGAGATCAGGGCAGCCCTGTAGGCAGATGAGTTCGAATGGAAAATGGGGAGTCAGAGGAGGGGATAGAGAGGGTAGGGGAAAGGTATGAGAGAGAACGCTCCTGGGAAAGGGTTTGGGGCAGGCAGAGAGGGGCCCAGCGGAAAAGACAAAGGGAGACTCCGGAGGGCGAGCAGAGGGTCCCGGCTGGGGGACGGGGGCGGAAGATAAGACAAGAGGGACACGAGAAAATCCCAGGGAGCTGAGGGACTCCGGAGAGCGCTAAGGGAGAGCAGGAGCAGTAGCGCAAGGCACCGAGGACCCTGGAGTCTCAGCGCGGTGGAGGGAGTAGGTAGGTGGAGTGGTCGAAACGGCATTTCCCGGGGCTTCCCATTTCTAACCGGACTCGTCCGCCTCGCGCAGGTCTTCAGTCCGAGCCGCCCACTGCGTCCTGGAGCTCGGTGACGTCACCAGCAGCCAGGCGCCTCCAGGGCTGTGAGTACCGCACCCTCCCGCCACCCGCGCCGCCAGCGGCGGGGCTCGCGCGCAGGCACGCGGGGCGGGGCGGGGCGGGGCGGAGCGGGGCGGGGCCCCGGGTTTGGAGGCCTCGTCCACCGCGCAGACCCCAAGAGGCCCCGAAGGGCTGGACGAGGAGCAACATGCTGGCGCCCCCGCCGGACGCGGGTGGTGCTGGGCTCCAGGGTGTGGGGGGTCTGTTTCCAGGGGGCTCCGCGACCCCCTTCTCTGCCCATTTCATCCCCATCTTTCCGAGGTGTCGATCCATGTCTCCTCCCCACTTCTCACTTAGGTTGATTCTCATTCATACATCTCCTGGCTCTGCCTGGGCCTGAGATTTAGTGCCTCCTCCTACCAAGTAGTGCCTTCAGTCCTTACCAGTAACAATTCCCAGCCCTTATTCTGGACCGTCTTCCCTGCGCCACTCGCAGAAACTCATTGCCCGACAAAACCCACCATGCCTGCACGGTGTCCTCTGAGGGAGGCTCTTTCCCGTGAACCTCCTTCCCCCACCCCTGTTTATAAACTTGTTCCTAGGGGTCATTGCCCTTCTTGCCACTTGTCTCTCTAAGGCCGTTCATCCTTCTCGAAATACCTCTTGGGCCTGCTCTTCGCCTGCCTGCTGTTAGGGATAGCTGCTATCTCCTTAGGAGTGCGCTGTGAGTATGCCCCTCGCCCCTCACCCCCCCCCCCCTCCCGCCCTTTTCCTCCCCAACAGCTTGCCTTTCTCAGCAGGGGCCAGAGTTGCTATCACCACATCCTTAGCTTTTGGTCTAGTTTCCAGCCAGGTCTGTTTCAGAGCACCATGTCTTGCTAAAGTAACCTCACCTAATCCTGTACCTCCTTGAGGTTTAGGCAGTCAGAGTTTATATTTCAGCTTGGGATGCAAAAAGTTGCAAGAAACAGAAAAAGGATTGACAAAGGTCTCAGGGCACCAGGGCGTGGCTGAAGATGTCATCCAAATCTCTCTTTATGGCCAAACAGACCTGCAGGTATCTCAACAGCTCCAGCACATGAACAGAGTTCTGGAAGCCACTAACAGCAGTCTGAGGCAGCAGCTCCAAATAAAGATCACCCAGCTGGGGCAGAAGGAACAGGATCTGCTGGGGTCCAGGAGGGAGCTGACCCAGAGTCAGGAAGCACTACGGGTGGAACAGAGGGATTGCCAGGCTGTCAAGGAGCAGCTACAGGCCTGCCAGTCTGACAGCCAGGGAACAAAGGAGGCCTTGCACAATGAGGAGGAACGAAGGAGGTCGCTGGAGGAGAGGCTGAATAGAATACAGGACAAACTGAAGCCCTACCTCACATGTGACACACCTGCTTCACAAGGTATCTGCTCTGGGAGAGGAGAGGGGACAGGAGAGAGGAGGGCCTGCTGTGAGGGATGGATTGAAGTGAGGAGATGCTCACGGCAGGGGTGCAGGGTCTGTCTATCAGGGGGCTGTTGTTCAGGAAAGCGGTAATGAAGCGGAGTGGTGGCTGACATGAACTGTGCCATCTTACCCAACAGGGAGGAGGATCAAGCTGCATACTGGCTTTAGGGGGCCTCACCCAGCTCTAAGGCAGATCTGTGGGGAAGAGGAGGGTAGCAGCCAGCAAGGCAAATCACACTGTCCAAAGCAGCAAACTCCGGTCACATCCAGCTTGACGTCAGTGTCAAGGATCCAGGAGCCCCTCGAATTTGGATGTGAAATAGGTTGTTTGCACACACCCTAAAGAGAGGGTCCATAAGTTTAATTAGCTTTCGCTATATATGAGATTCTCCAAAAGATTAAAACTTGCCAATTGACGAGGTGCAGTCTGGTGGTGGACAAGGAAGCTGAAGCTCTCAGGTGTGGGTGACACCATGAGCGGGGGTCGGGGGGGGGAGAGGATAATTTGGGGGAGGGAACTGGGGTGAATTGTTTAGCCAGCCAGTATGTGGGGATGAGAGAGAGGGACACGTCAAAGGTGAGGGGCTGTGGCAAAGCAGGCTGAGGTTCCAGGCAGGGTGTCAGGTACAAGAGGACTGGGATGTTCATGGACTGGTTATCTGTGGTCGAGGATGGGCTCAGTCTAGCTCAGGGGCCATCTTGATACTCCCTGAAGGCTTAAGACAGCGAGGTTATGTGCATACACCTCTAGCCCCTCCTTTTTACTTTCTTATTCTCTATGACCCTCAGTTCCATACCAGTGCTGTCACCCACTCCCACAGCTGTACCCGAGAGCTCAGCATCCTAAACTGCTCTTCCTCTGAAAGAATGGTCTCAGAGCTCCACTCCGACCACAACTGCCCCCGCTCCAGGCTCTCCCCCACTTCTTCAGCCTCATCGAGGCCTCCACGCCACTGACTCCCCTGTCTCCTTTCCAGCAACTGTCACCTGTCCTCACTTCTCTCTCTACCCATCTTGCACTCCAGGGTCCATCGCTTTGACCTCTCACTCCTTTGTTCTACTGTCCTTCTGGTGCACCTGACTGGCAAATCTGAACTCTGGGTGAACCCAACTGTCCACCTTGCCCATGCCTACCCCCAGGTGTGACAAACGGCAATCCTTTTGCTTGGTGCCACTGAAACTCTAGTTCCAACCTTGGCTAGGGCCTTGGCACTGCCTGGTCGCCTTGCTCTCCGTAATAACGCCTTACCCTACTACCCTCCCTCTCGCTGTCAGCAGATGCCCTAGTCCATCGGAGAGGAATTCCCTCCATTTTCCACCACCAAGACTATATATCCATTTACACTTTTGCCCAGCCCCATCTCTTGCAAGGTTAACTGCAACAGCTTGCTGGGCGTTTTTCCCAAACATCCCCCAAACCCCCATTCCACTCTTCATATTGCAGCCAGTGTAGTCCTTTAAAACCAAAAATATGATCCTATCATCCCAGCCAAGAGCCTGTCATTCCAGTTAATTAATTAATCAAAAGTATGGCCTACATGCCATATGTCCGGCACTGTGCCCAGGCACTTGGGATATAGTCAGTGAGCAACATTCCAATATGTAAAACCCTACATTGACCTTCTCTTTCTTGTAATATAAAAATTAAAAATCGTTAACATGGCTTTCAAGGCCTCTGCCTGCCTTTCACCATGCCACTTCATCTCTCACCCTTTTCTGTTTGGCCACACCAATTTCTTTTTATTCCTTTAAATTACTGATTTACAAGGTGCAGCTTGGTGGTGGGGCAAGGAGGATAACTCAAGAATGGAAAGAGGTGGGTTGGGATCAGGAGCACAGATGGAGGGGTGGGATGTTACAGAAAGAGGGATGTTTATTTCTTATGGTCAGGAAAAGAGAAAGAAGAGACAAATTTTGAGGTGGAGGGAAGGGAAGTAGAGTTTACATCAAAGTGTCTGGCAATTTCAGCAAAATAGGAACCAAGGTTGTCTACTTGTGGGAGAGTGGAGAGGGAAGGAGGTGGCTTGCAGCTTGAGGAGAGTGGGAAAGTTTTCCGGATGCAGCGTGGAATGCTTTCGAGAGTTGGCGAGGTGACTGAGAGCGCTCCTGAACACTTACGGGGCCCGGGTGAGGTTGGCCAAAATGGAGGGGGCTGTAATTGTTCAGAAATTGGGAGTTGTACTATCAATCCTATTAAAGTAGACCTCCCAGACTGTTAAGGAATAAAGTGATTGAATGTTAAAGGCTTTTACTAAGTATACACAGGCTTGGCATTTCCAGAAAGATCACAAAGATCAAGGACTAGAAGTCAGTGAAGGAGCTGAGATTAGACCTAAGGAAACAGTGGTAGCGACTAGATTGCTGAGCAGTCACTTTCATTCCACGTGTTGAGATCTCCCTTCTGGGTCTGGGCTGTGTTGTCACATTCTTTCTGTTTTTTAGATACCTGCTGTCCCATGGGATGGATACTGGTGGAGAGGAAATGCTTTTACTTCTCATCTGTTAAGAAATCATGGGAGGAGAGCAAAAAGTTTTGTAGTTCTATGTTATCCAGCTTGGCCACACTTAGTGACTATCCTTATACAGTAAGCATACCTTTATTCACAGACTGTCATGGGTACTGTTAGATAAAGGGACATATGTCATCAAATCAGGAATGACAGTGTCCACATGGCATGCATGCCATGGCGTGCATTCCTTTTCTATGCGGCTCCTCAGCACAGTGCTCCAGGCAGCCCCTACTGATGAGAGTTGGCGTGCGAACCATTGTTACTTTTACCTGTTCCTCATTCCAGCTTTCCGGTCAGCATTCTGGGCTGCCTAACAGATTCTTTGACTGCCGTGACCCCTCAGAGAGGCCCCAGACCCGGTGAGCCGGATTGTAGGGATTATGTCCTTGTGACCACAGCAGCCCACAGAAAGGCTCCCCTTTGAAAGTCTTGTGGAAGTTCTTATCCAACTTGAACTGAAGGGTGAGCCTGCACCTGCATGGTGGCACTTGGCAGATGCAGGTACACATCACTGATGAGCTGTCATGCACCAAAGATGGGCACAGTCCTCTTGTCAAAGTTCCTAAGTCTCCCTAGGGTATTTTCTTCCATCAGCCCAGGTCCCCTCTTTTACACCCGTACCCGCATTCCTCTATTGCCCATCCCTCTCCACACACCATGGTGTCTCTGAATCTCCCCTCAGGGTTATCACAGCAGCAGCGTATATAAAGCGTGGGAACAATCTGGTCGGTCTGATTCATTTTGGATTGACGTCAGGCCAAAGGACAGGCAGGGGACTTACACTAAAGTGGGCTCTGGGTAAGTTTGTTAGGACTTTTGGGTATTTTCAACTTCATAATCCCTTCATAAGACAATGAGATTTCCCTTTAGGTTCTGCTCCCAAACCTTTCACATATCAATATCGTAATTGCCTACTTGTCCATTTGCTCTATGGACAAGTAGGGCATTCTTCTTCTCTAATCTGTCCCTAGTACCTAGCAGTCCCTGGCACATGCTTTAAAAAAAAAAAAATTATTACTAAATTGAGACCTAGGTCATCTTTCTCTCAGAAGCTAGGGCTTCACAGCTGATGAAGAACCCTGACATTCTAACTTCCTGTCTAGGGCCACTTGGGGCACTAGAGTTGCCCTAGGGGTTGTAAGGGAGCAATGGGGTAACTTTGAGGTTCAACCCTGAAACAGGATGATCATTTTCTACATTCCCTAACTGGAGTTCCCATCTTTAAGACCTTGGGTGACTTTTCCCTCCCCTGGCCCTACAGCCTCTTCAGGTTGGGGTCTAGACATCTGTCCCTGAAACATACCCAGACATGGCCTTAGGTAGGTAGGATAAGTTAGGACTTGGGCTAGGTTTTATGTAGGGCAAGGGGGGTAGGGTGGGGAAGGGAGGGTGCCAGAGCCTATTCCAATTGTTTCACCACTCTTTAGGTATAATGCTCCAAAACAACCCTGTTATAAGATACCATCATACTCTTGGTTATCATCTCAAGACTGTAAGAGTTCTCTTCCCTTCATCTGTGAGAAGGAAGCTTTTAAGTATCCAGATCAGCACTGAGCTGAGTGAGTGTGTGGGATGGGACTGAGGAGCAGGAGCCTGAGGGGACAGGGACTCAGAACGGGTTCAGCCAGTGGCAAAAAGACTTGTTCCTGGGAGTGGGTCATGCCCACGGTCCCCAGGAGCTTGGGATGCTTATGTAAGGGGCCACTGCACAGAGAGAGGGATGGGGTGAACTGGACGAGGGTTCTTAATGACAGTTAACTGCAGAGCTCATTGGTATTTTTACTCTTCCAGATACTTGTGCCAACAAGAGCCTGTGCCCCTCATCCCTAACTTGGAGCCATGGGTCCATGATTCTCTCCCTCCAGCGTTCCCTCACTCTTGCTGGACAGTGCCTGGCCAAGGGCTGATCTGGCCCAACATTCCTAGGCAGCCTGCTGCCTGCCTGAAATCCTGTCCCAGAAACTGGACTATTCCTGGGAAAGGGTGCAGAAACCTCTGGAAGAGATTTTAGCCTCCTCAAGACTTTCCATAGTGGACTGGGGAAGTGGGGGAGGAGGGCGCATGGGCTGAGTGGATAGGGGCAGCCCGGAGCCAGCCAGGCAGTTTTATTGAAATATTTTTAAATAATTTGCACGTGTTAGTCTTGTGTGTCAGCAATGTTGGGTGACCCCCACGGGAGGGCAAGCCCAGGGGCTGGATAGGAAATGTCTATCCCTTGCGTCCATGCTGAGGTTCCCCTCTGTGGAGGAGCCGGTCAGCCCGTCTGGGGCTGGCGCTGCCCAGCACGTGTGCTGTCCTCACAGGGCATCCTGAAGGCCAAAGTTGGAGGCCCCACTGCTAAGAGCGTGCCCCAGGCAGCTGAAGGCTGGGTGTGGGTGGCTTGGCATGGTGCCCTCGGTGGCAGAGGAGACTGCCCGCCTCACAGTTCAGGTTGCGGTAGCGGGCAACAGCTGGTGTGGGGCGGGGGCACATGGACAGGAAGCCGAAGCTGAAGGGGCCCAGGCAGCAGCCCGGGCAGGGGAGCCCCTCGTCGGACTCCCGAGGAGCTGAAGGGGGCGGCGAGGGTTCTGTCCGCTCCAGGGCTGCTGCTCGGGGCAGGCTATGCTGCGCCCGGTTCCAGGGCTCGCCGGCCCAGCCCTGTGGGGAGTTCACCACCACAGCTGGGGGGTTGTTGTTAAGGGGAGGTCCTGATCTAGGGGACCAGGGCTGGGAGGCTGACGAACAAGTGCTGATGAAGTTGTCTGTGGCCACGGCCAGGGGCAGCTGGAGAGCTGGCCCTGGGGGTTCTGGCTCGGGACTACTGCCCTCACACTCCATTCTCTCTTCAGCGGAGGGGCCCACCGCAGGAGGGCCAGGGCCCGGCAGTACTGTCTCCATGCGTCGGGGGAGCTCAGGGGATGATGGTAATGAGCGGCAGCGACGGGCAGGTGTCCCAGACTGGAGTAGGGTCTCAGGAGTGGTCACCAAGGGCAGCTGGGTAGAGAGCAGTGGTGATGGCGGTACAAGGGGCAGGGGAGCGACTGTCTTGCTAGGTGTGTCCAGGAGCTTGATCTTGCCACCCCTGAGGTCTTCACGTAGTGAGAAGGGGTTGACTCGAGTCAGATTGTCCCCCCAGTTGGGGGGTGATTCTGGCGATGGAGGCAGGAAGAGGTCTGACCTGCTTCGGGAGAGCCGGGGGTCTGGCCTGGGAAGCGTGGCAGAGGGACCTCCTCTTGGAACAGACCCTGTCGACAGAGAAGTTTGTGATCACTGTTCTCAGCATTGATAGCTCCTTGAAGGTCTCGTTATTCGCCAGGAGGCTGGTGGAACCAGAGCTTAGAAAAGGGAGTCTGACAGCGTGCTTTGCAAAGGGGGAGACAGCACCTTCAGCCACTTTTTACCTTTTTCCTTCTTTCCTTCCTTAAGGCTCCAGAATTAGAAAACTATCTTCTTTGAGATGTCCTCTCACCCCCACCTCCACCCCCAGTCTTCTCAACTAATAAGTACTCTTAGCCTCCCCTAGATAATTCCCTGAGCTCTAAGGGGGAGAGAGGCAAAAGGACTCCAGTTAGGGGAAGGTCATGCTCACTCACCCTGATTATGTGTCAGGGGAGCCCTGGTGAGGGGGGCTGGCTCAGACAGTTGCTCTAGGATCCACTCCAGGTGCTGGGTGATTTCGGTGAAGGGAGCACGAGCGCTAGGTTCCATCTGATGGGTAGAGACAGGGGCAGCTTCACTCAGTGCGCCTAAAGTGGGTCCCTGAGTTCTCCCGTCCCTGGGACAGGACAGCCCTGTCAGCTGACGGGTAGGGGTGGAGGGCAGGGCGGGTGAGGCTCTTACACTGCAGCAATGGATGGCCAGCAGCAGGAAGGGCAGTGGGCAGTCATCCCCCACCAGGGTCCGGAAAGCGGGCACATCCAGGCCAAAGTCCTGCAGGGACAGAAAGGAAGGGCCCCCAAGTCAGCTCTCCTTAGGCTCTTCTTCTGCCTCTCAATAAAGACCTCAAGCTCCAGGGAGCCCTTCTTGGTTATAAGCTGGACAGTCTTATAAGTTGAAAAGGAGTTCCTCCTTTTCAAACCTGGAGATTTCATTCACCTCAGTACGGGGCAGGTAGTCAGGGTCCGCAGGTACTCGTGCGATGAGCTCGCAGAGGATAATCCCGAAGGCAAAGACATCGGCCTGGGGGTAGGAGATAATGTCAAGAGGAGAAATCGACAGCTTTCATGCCATAATTTTGTTAGAATGTGTCAGATTTCATGGGGGAGTCCTGACAGTTTCCATGGGTTGGAGAGGGTGCCTGTCAGGGGCACGGGGAGGGGGTCTTGGGCCCTCCTAAGTGTCTGGTAGGGTTGCTGAGGAACTTGGGATAGGGACTTATAAGAGTATCTCAAGGGTCTCTGGACGACCTCAGGGATCTGAAAGGTTGATGTCTTACCTTCTCGTCATATAGCTCACCCCGCAACACCTCTGGAGCCATCCAATATGGGGAACCCACCACAGCCAATGGCTCCTTCCTTTCCCCTTCCCTGTGGGGAGGGGCAGAGTGGTCAGAAACATCCCACTCAGACAACTCCCCAAACAAAAGGGGATGAGGTCAGCCCCCTCCCCAACCCAGGGGAAATGTCCCTGGGGGCTTCACTTAGATAGGGGCCTTCTGGGAGGTTTGAGGGGACAGGGGCATTCAACTCACCTATACACAGGAATCTTTTCAGCCAGTCCGAAGTCACCCACAACAGCTGTGAAGCTTCGGTCTTCCCGACGGATCAGACAGTTCTAATATACACATGTAGTATCCCCACACACTTATCACTTTCTGTTCTTTGACCTCCTAACCTAAAACCCAAAGCTCTGCCACTCCAGAATAACCCCAACCCTCTCCCAGTTTTCCAATACACCCCAATCTTGCAACATCATACATCATTCCAAACAGAGTGGTGCTCAGCCCCTCAGAGCACACCCCCTCACGCCAGTCCCCCATTCCCCGATGGCTTGCTTCCCTAACATCCTATCATATTTATTATCCACATTCCAACATCCATGGCCTAGTTACAACCCAACAGTCTCAAATATCCCTTCATGCTTCGACCTTTCTGGCCAGCCTACCTTGGATGTGAGGTCTCGGTGGAATACACCTTTGGCATGCAGGTACCGCAGGCCATGGGCGATGTCCAGAGCCAGGCGGAGCCTGACAGGCCAGGATAGGGGTTCAGGGGAGCTGAGCAGCTGTTCCAAGGTCCCCCCATTCATATACTGGGGCATAATGGGAGAAGGAGAATGAATATCAAGGTTTCATTCTGTACTTCAGTCTCCCACTTATAAGCCAGGGGAAACTCAGGAGGATAACAAAGGTCAGAAGGGAAAGCCTGTGCTCTAAGGTCCCAAATTCATAATCTAGGGCTGTCCTATCAAATACATGTGTAACTATTTAAAATTAAATTACTAAGTTTAAATAAAATTAAAGATTCAGTTCTGCAGACTAGCCAGAGTTCCAGTGCTCCCTAGCCACATGTGGCTAGTGGCACAGCACAGATATAGAACATTTTCGTTACTGCAGAAAGTTCTATTGGACAACACTGTTATAGAGCATAGAGGATGAGAACAGCTGAGGCCTTTTATTTGTGGTTTGCCCAAAGGGAAGTTTAGGGAGGACTCCCTGGGAGAAGGTCCTGCTGCCTCTCACTATTCCTCTGTAGAAGCGCCAGGTCGTGACTCTCTCCCCTTGGTGGTGGTGGGGTCCCCCCATTCCTGGCCCATCCTCACCTCTGTAAGAGCGTGCAGCTGCCCCTGGTGCACACAGACCCCCATGAACCTGGAAGAGGGGAGGGAAGATAGGAAGGTGGGTTGTAAGAGACCCAGCCTCTCCGCAGTTCCCAGTCTTTCAGCGGGATCCTCCTCCCAGCAAGCTTCCCAGCAAGGGGCTGGAGCCGCTCACCTTAAGATGTTGGGGTGCCGGAGCCGGTTCATCAGCTGCACCTCCCGTAGTGTGTTTCCCCTGTTACTGGGGAGCCTGTTCATTTTCAGCACCATGACTTGCCCTGACTGTCGGTGCCGAACCTGAGGGTGTCAGGGGAAGGCGAGTACAGGACAGGTCGGACTTGGCGTCCGCGTCCGGGCCCCCCGGCTCCAGCCTCCCGTCTAAGGCTTGGTACCGCCCCTCTGCCCTCTCCACTGGTCCTACCTTGTAGACCTCAGAGAAGAAACCGGCCCCGATCTTCTCGGCGCAGTGGAAATCGTCCACGCGCGCCAGGCTGGACACGGCGCTGCGGAGAGCCCGGTAGGAGGAGGGGCGGCCCCGGCCTCCACCCGCGCCCCCCGGCCCTGGGGGCCCCTCCCCCGGCGCCTCTCCGGGCCCCGGCCCAGGGCCCCGTAGTGGGGGACGTTCCCCGGCCATGACCGGGCCCCCAGCCCGGGCCTGCCTCACATGGCAGGGTCCCCGGGGCCCGGGCAAGCCGCGCTTGCCATGGGCGCGGGCCCAGCCTAATCCGGGGCGCCCGGACTCCCGCTCCCGCCTAGGAGAATGGAAGATCCGCCGAAGATCCTGGGCCCGCCCCCGCCGCGCCGGCTGACTGGGCCCGGGTGGACGTCGCTCCGCTCCGCTCCGCGCAGGGCCTGGGCCTGGGCCGGGTGGTGGCGGCGGCGCTCCCGGGCGCCGGCGGGCAGTCGGGCTCCCCGCAGGCGGAGGCGGTCGGGCCGGAGGCGGCGGGCTGCTCGGCTTCACCGCTGGGGCTCAGGCGCCGCGGCCTGCTGGGGGCGGGGCTGAGCCAGGCCTCTGCTTAACTCCTTGAAGCCCGGCCCCCAGGCAGCGGCCACGCCCCCTCAGGTATGCACCCCAACCGTTGGCCTTGACGCCCTAGACTAGTGGGTCTGGGCGTTGGGGTCAAATTCTGGCCTGAGCTGAATAACTGAAGGGAGTTAAGGGCTGGTTGTGCGCACGTGCAGGTCAAATGTCTTTTAGCTGCTCGAGGAATCTTTCCTCCCCTTCCACCTGCAGGTCACTGTCAGTTGAGGGTCGGGCTTGGGAAGCCGCCCGATTCTTGGGCTCCGTAGACCAGCAGGGCAGAAAATTAGACCCCTCATGGCCAATCAAAATCTAGGGCAGCCCAGCAACATGCCCACCTTCCTGGCCTCCACCCTGGCCCATACTGCCCATTCCTCATGGCTGGAGATATTTACATTTACACTGTAAACCTCTGGACTCCATGAAACTTTCTTCCTTCTCGGGCGGCTCGGAGGCCCCAGGACTGTAGTAAGCCCTTGGCCAGCCCATCCCTAATGTGGCCCCAACTCCTCCTCACTCCAAACCGTCTCTCTCGAATAAAGTTCAAATTTCAGAGCCTCCGCCTAGTGACACACAGCCTTGACCTTCTTTCTGTTTCGTCCAATGACCCCTTGTGTCGAAAGAGAAGTCTCCACCTGCAGGGAAGCCCCTCCTTCCACTAGATCCCACCCCTTGGCCAAGCTCCGCCCCTCAAGGGGCGCTTCCCCTCGAAGACCCCCTCTCTTCCTTAGTGAGACCCCACCCTCTCAGAAGTACCTTTCCTCAGTATCACACTGCTAACGTCAGTGTGTACCAGAGCCTGTCAGTGCCTCTTCTGTGTGTTCCTGCCACGCAGTGAAACCCCCACCTCTCAGAGTGACTCCACCAGTCATTGTGACCCCTCCTCTCAACGTGACTCCTCCCCTCAGTGTGGCCCAGCCCTTATTCGTTTGACCCCTCTCAGCAGGTTCCGCCCTCCGTCACATAGGAATCCGATCTGCCTCCCTCAGGCCGCAGGAGGAGCTGCAGCTGGGTCTAAATCAGCGCGGAGCCCTAAATTCGCACGCAATCTTTCGCGACCCTGTGCACTCGCCGTACCCTTCGCTTCCGCTTCTCTTTAGGTTCGCCTGGCAAAATAGCCAATCATCGCCGGGAGAGGGGGACGTCGCTCGGTCCCGGCGACGGCGTCCAGACGATCGGAGGGGGCGTGGTTGAACGCCACCTAGTGGTGGAATGGAGGGCGGTGAAAGTGGGGGGCTTCGGGTCTCTAGAATGAAAAGGCTGCGACACAGCTTGAAAGAGCGCGGCCGGGTTCTCTTCAAAACTTCCAAAGTACTGTATTTCTGTTTCTTTGGTAAGCTGAAAATTAGAGACCTGTCCCATGTTTATGAGAATTGGGGCCAAGTACTCTTTGTCAAGGGCTAATGAGAAGAGAATAAATAAAAAGTCTTAAATTATAAAGGATGCATTAGGGCCAGGGGAGGTGCGGAGGAAGGCCAGATGCTGTCTCGGTGAGGTTTTGCACAAGTTTGGAGGGAAGAGCCGGAGAGATTCACAGCCCTTGCAGAGCCAGTGGAGACAGACCAGTCTGGATTAACCTGTGCCTAGACCATCTACATCATATTCGTTCCTCCAGAGGCAATTTGGTCTCAGCAAAACAAACTCATTCGTTACTTTAAATTAATGTTAACATCTACACCTATTTGATTTCTAGAGTTACGCTTTGAACACATAAGCAGAAATAAAATAATTAAAAACTTTTAATTGTAAATTTGCTTTCTATAGAAGTATGAGCTCTGTAAATACTAGGAATTAATGCTTCATTTTGTTTAAATAATATCATAATGGGTACTTGTAATCAACACGTGTGTGACCCTTTATCCAAGTCTGAGAATTACTATAGCTGATGATAGTAATTCCAAGCAGAGGCACCAGATTCCTGTTTAAGAAACACTACTGTGGTGATTGTATAAACAGGGAGCCACTTTAGGAAGGAGGCTCTGACAATGATTCAGTTAGGAGAGGATGAGGGACTGAACTAGGATAGCGATAACAGGGAAGAAGAAGAAGAGGAAACACCCGAGCAGTATGGGAAAACTTGCTGATTGATTAGCACCCAAAGTCAGTCCTGTGGAGAGAAAGACCGTCAGCCAGGATCGTTTTTAAATTTCTAGCTTAGGTGATAATTCTATTATCAACTGAGATAAAGAATCCAGGAGAAGGAATGGTTGAATGGAGGAAGGTAAAACGATTGCCATAAATAAAGGGGTAATGGTCAAACTATGAAAGTAGCTACCATCATCTAAGTAGGGTGTATAGAGGGAGAAATAGACTGGCAGTGGAATCCTGGGGTAAACCAACATTAGAGGATGGAAGGAGGAAGACAAGTCCATGAAGAAGACTGAGAAGAAACAAGGTGAAAGATAGGAAGAGAATCTAGAGAGCCTGGTGCCATGGAATCTAAGGAATGGAGAGTTTACGGAAAATAGAATAATGAACAGCATTAAATGGTATAGATAAAATTTAAATGTTCCTTCAGTTAGGCTATTAGAATATCCTTTTGTTGTTTTTCAAACTTTTTATGATGGAAAATGTCAAAAGTAAAAAAAAACCACACAAAAACAGAGAGAATAGAACAATGGACTCTTCTTAACCTTGAGTGAGTAAGACCATTTTGGTATGTAATCATTATACCCATGTATAATGCTCATCCTTATTTTTCCCTCAAAAATTTGGGAAATAAAGTGCGTATCATACATAGCAAAATACGGTAGTTTTAAACAATTGTTTATTTGAATCAAAATCTGAATAAGGACCATACCTTGCAGGTGATATGTCTCTTGAAATTTTTGAAAATCTTTATTCTCCATCTTTTTCCACTTACTGTTTAATTAATGGTTTTTTTTTAAGAAACCAGGTCATTTATCCTGTAGAGTTTCTCAAAGTTTGAACCTTGCTGAGCTTCTTCTGGTATAATTTAGCATCTTCCTCAGCTCTGTATTTCCAGTAAATTGGTAGTTAGAGACTTAATTAGATTTAGATTTGATTATTTTGGCAACACTAATTCAGAGGTGGTTTTAGTACATTTACCAGGAGTCATACCATGATGGTCTCTTTGTGATGTTAGTAACTAATGATGATCGTTGTCTAGACCAACATTGATCTAACATGACACTATTGATATTTTGGGCCACATACTTCTTTACTGTAGGGAGCTGTCCTGTGCCTTGTAGAATGTTTAGCAGCATCTCTGGCCCCAGCTCGCAGAATGTCAGTAACAACTCCCCTAACTGTGACATCCAAAAATGTTTCTAGACAATTGCCCGTTGTCCCCCAGGGGGCAAAATGTCCCTGATTGAGAATCACTGGTCTAGGTTCATTAACATAGGAATTAGAAAATAATATTCTTCTGTCTTTCTTTTTTTGAGGGGGTTTACAGTGAACTTTATTGATTGCGTATGAAAAGATGGGGCTCCCTGAGCCCCTCCCCTTCAGGGGGTATGAGATAAAAACTGTGGAGGTCAAGAGATTCTCAGTGTGTTGGGAGGATTGATTTGGGGCAAGGGCTCCCCAGCAGCTGAGGGCCTCTCTTCCTTTCACTGGGGCTGGTGGTCCAGGGGGCTCTTACTCCTTGGAGACCATGTGGACCGTAAGGTCCCCCACCCTGTTGCTGTAGCCAAATTCATTGTCATACCAGGAAATGAGCCTGACAAAATGGTCCTTGAGGGCAATGCCGGCCCCAGCATTGAAGGTAGAAGAGTGGGTGCCACTGTTAAAGTTGCAGGAGACAGCTTGATCCTCAGTATAGCCCAGGATGCCCTTGAGGGGGCACTCTGATGCCTGCTTCACTATCCTCTTGGTGTCATCATTTTTGACAGCTTTCTGTAGGTGGCAGGTCATATCCACAGCCTTGGGGCAGGGACATGGAAGGCCGTGCCAGTGAGCCTCCCATTTCAGCTCAGGAATGATCTTGCTCATAGCCTTGGCAGCACCAATAAAAGCAGGGATGACGTTCTGGGCAGCCCCTTGGCCATCACGCCACAGCTTCCCAGAGGGACCATCCAGTCTTCTGGGCGGCAGTGATGGCCTGGACTGTGGTCATGAGTCCCTCCATGATGCTGAAGTTGTCATGGATGCCCTTGGCCAGGGCTGCCAAGCAGTGGGGGTGCAGGAGGTGTTGCTGACAATCTTGAGGGGTTGTCATACTTGTCGTGGTTCACACCCATCACAAACACAGGGGCACCCGCAGAAGGGGCAGAGATGGTGGCCCTCCTGGCACAACCCTTCAAGAAAGCCTCAGCATTCTTCAAGGTAATAAAGACGCAAGTGGACTCCACAGCACATTCAGCAACAGCATCCCCTTGTGATGCTGGTGAGATCTCGCTCCTGGAAGATGGAGATGCACTTTCCATTGATGACAAGCTTCCCGTTCTCAGCCTTGACTGTGCCTTTGAACTTGCCATGAGTAGAGTCATACTGGAGCATGTATATCATGTAGCTGAGGTCAATGAAGGGGTCATTGATGGTGACAAATACCCACTTTGCCAGAGGTAAAAGCAGCTCCGGTAACCAGGTGCCCAATATGGCCAAATCTATTCACTCGACCTTCACCGCTATATCTCAGGGTTGAGGTTTTACCTGGCACCGTGCAGACAGATGCAGGTGTCGAACAGGAGGAACAGAGAGCCTGTCCTCCTTTCTCTGTTAGGTAGAAGAAATACCTCTACAAAGAGAAGCTTTTTCCCATTATCCACTTGTTCACTAGAGATATATTTCATGTAGGAAAGGCAAGAAAAATGTTTGTTTCCCTTTTATTTTATCAGCTTTTAATGAGTTGGATGCTAGGTATAGCATCCCCCAAAAAGGAACAATGAGGGGTTTTTTTAGTACTATTATTAACTCATAATTTAACACATACATGATGTATTTCAATCGTTGGCCGTTTTTATAATTTTGATGTTTAAATTGTCTTTTTTGGCCAGGGGAACTTATTCAAGTTAGCACCTGGGTCCTTCTGATATGACCCTTAAGGCTTTTTTTTTCCCCCTTTGATGTGATAAAGTCCTCCAGGCTCATTTTATATATTCCTAGACCAGAGCTGGTATCCACTATTTTTTCCAGTGATTCATCGTTCGTTTTAATTGGAAATGGTATTTAAAGACCACAGTCTGGGTCTTAGGGATATAGATTATTTGACCTCAGGAAGAGCAGTGAAATGAATATATAGTCAATTCCCTGTTCTTCTTAAAACAGTCCCTTCCACCATCTCTTTATTATAAAAATTTTAAACCTCAAAAAGTTGGAGGAATGTACAATGAACACCTGTATACTCTCACCTAGTTTCAATAACTGTTTACATTTTGTTGTGTTTGTTCCATCTCGTGGTATGGTGTGGGATGATATCATGTTAATTTTATAAAAAAGATTTTATTTATTTATTTTTAGAGAGAGGGGAAGGGAGGGAGAAAGAGAGAAACAGCAACGTGTGGTTGCCTCTCTCATGCCCCTCGCTGAGGGACCTGGCCTGCAACCGAGACATGTGCCCTGACTGGGAATCAAACTGGCAACCCTTTGGTTCACAGGCCGGCACTCAATCCACTGAGCCACACCCGCCAGGG